AGTCTTGATAATTGTACAGATGAATTCTGGGTTGATTTGTGCACGCCTCAGAATTGTAGTGTGAGCGGTATCGGAGCGAAATTGGAGCGAGACAAAGCGGACCGCTCCAGTCTTAATTAAAAAACCGCTCCGCGCTCTGACCAAATTCCGCCCGCTCCGCTCCTCGCTCCGCTCACATGCTCTGATATGAGCGGTTGTTTCAAGACAGAACTGGTTTGCTTTCACGAATGTCCTGATACATTACACAAGGATTTTTAAAGGCTGTCTTTAACATCTTTAACTGCTTAAATATGCCTGAATCGGGATTAATTTCTGATATTATTCAAAGTCAAATTTGAAACCATAAAAACATTCTGAAAAGTTGATGTTGACTATACATATATTAATATCTTTTAAAGATACACATATTTTCCCAAGAGAAATTTAACTAAAAGTAACCATTAAGACCTGGGATGGACTGGTATCGTGTCCAGGGTGAATTCCGCCCTTATGCTATCTGTGGTCTGGGACCCTGAACAAGATAAGCAGTTAGAAGGACGGCTGTTTGTTTATGTTTTATCTTCAAACACACGCAGTGACGTAATGAAATGTCATTTTGCAGTATGAAATTTCCGTGAACAGTGCAGAAGGTGACAACGCAAACCCAAGGCAGCAAAGCCCTGAGTGACACATCATACAGCGACGTGACAGAAACAAACGAAGACACACGGCGAAGAGGGACCTGCAGACACGGGAAAATAAATGCATGTAGGCTTCTTACTGTATAAGGGTATGGAGAGAAAAGATGAACAGAGACAGCGACCATTCAGTCACTTTTCATGTCAACACCACACAAATGTTGTTGATGCTTCCATGTCCCACTATCGCCAGTGTGGGGAAGCAATAAAAAAGGCCAATAGAATGTTGGGTTAGTGTGTATCTAGTGTGTGGAGTTTAAGTCAAGGGAGGTGATGCTACGATTATACAATTCCTTGGTAAGACCCCATGTAGAATATTGAGTGCAGTTTTGGTCACCATACTTTAAGAAGGACATTGCTGCCTTAGAAAAGGTGTAACGGAGGGCTACGAGAATGATTCCTGGTCTTAGAGGAATGTCTTATGAGGAGAGTTTAGCTGAGCTGAATCTGTTTAGCCTCAAGCAAAGGAGACTAAGGGGGGACATAATCCAGGTCTATAAGATTCTAACAGGTCTGGATGCTGTTCAGCCAAATGACTATTTAAATATTAGTCTAAATACTAGAACTCGTGGCCAGAAGTGCAAATTAGCGGGAGAACATTTTAAAACAAATTTGAGGAAGCACTTCTTTACACAGCGTGTAGTTAGAGAGTGGAATAGTCTTCCTGCTAGTGTAGCGGAAGCTAAAACCCTGGGTTCCTTTAAATCAGAGCTAGATAAGATTGTAATAACTCTGAGCTATTAGTTAAGTTCTCCCCAAACAAGTTTGATGGGCCGAATGGCCTCCTCTCGTTTGTAAATTTCTTATGTTCTTATGTAAAGCTGATGAATGATTTTTTTCCCCAGAGTGACAGTGGAGGCCATTGAAAACACTGTGGTCATTGTACCTAAACAGGCAAATATGATCAAGGCAATTTTACAAAATGACACAATTACAATTAAAATATGAACAAAGTATTTTCATCTGTAATGTTAGCTGGTGCTGGCTGGTAAACATTATCAGTATTACTGCTAATTCCTCACAAGGGAACCGGAAGAACCGGTTATATCAGCCAGGCAGTTGGCAAAAATTCAGTGAAGGATACCGAGTGGCGTGGCTGCAGTGTGGTGACAGAGTTTGACGTCCCATTTGTCATATCGATTGGTATTTCCTGCCATCTAGACACTTTACCATGTCGTTCTCACAGAGAAAGAAGAGAGACTCTGTTCCTCAGGGAACAGTTGTTTGATTCCTTTCCAGTTATTTCCCATTTCATCCTCATGTGATTTTCATCTTCTGCACGAGACCTGAAATCTGAAATGTACATCAGCCTTATGATTGAGTTCATGGGCAACACAGGAACCTCTCCTTGCAAAAGAGCAAGGATTAAATTAAGGATTAAATATGCAATTGTTTCCTGCTGGTTCTGCAATACATTAAAAATCACAAACACATCTGTCCAGATTTATCCTCTTTATTAGCCCATTTCAGACAAAATATTTACATTCAAAATGAAAATTAATGCAATACGAATTTCTGTTTTTCACAATTTATTTTACTGATAAAGAAGTTTCATTTTATGAACATGGTAATCATATAATCAGCGATTTTCCACTTGTGTATATCATAGAAACAGAATTTGTATGCAAAAACCACCAAAGCATAAGGTTTAGGGTTACAGTACCCACAGCAATTAGACTGACTGAAAAAGTTTATAATATTACTTTAATTCTCAAAGAAACAAATTCACAAATTAAACAGAAAAATATATCAAATACAAAAAGTACAATGTAAGAAAACCCAGTGAGAAATGCACTAGATACTCAATTACTTAGAATTTCAAATATAGTTTTCAATATCAAGTTACCAATAATCCTCACCTGAGCGTAACGATGTTACAGAACTACAACAGCTCAATTTGAAGTTGATTTCCTGTAATAATAAATTACATGGTGTTCTGTTACACTGTTTCACACATTTATCAGTCACATTCATCATTTCATTGCCCATCTTTCTGATTGCTGTTGCTTCATCCTTGATGCTCGTTACTGTAAGTCAGTGATCAGTGCATCTCACACACAGGGTCACACAGGCGTCCTCATCAGCAGGCTGTGCGGCATTTAAAGAGACAGATCATGATAAAAACAGACTGCAGTGCCGCACAGTGACAGAGCAGAGCAGCTATAAGACAGCGGAGCTTTAACTGCTAATACAGTAACTTACAGAGAGAGAAATAAACCTGCATTAATGATCCTTCCTGACAGTCAGTCAGTGATTCATTTTCTGATTAAACTTATTCTGCTCCTCATAGTCTTATGATATCTTATATAATAATATCATGACTGTTGTTGATTGTAAAGCTGCTAAATGCTTAGTAAAGAAACATTATATTGTATCGTGTGTGTCTGTGTGTGGAGGGGGGTATCAGGTCTGCACATTCATCTCATCTGGTCTCTGTTGTCTTCTGGCAGAGAAGGAGATGAACCTGAAACCAAAACTGACAGAAATGAGAAGAAAACATCCTGAATGCAGCTGAAGGACAAATCAGACAAAGTGAATAAACAAACTCATGTATACAGATTCTCTGCATGAACTTATGTTATATAAAGTTCGAACAAAATAAAACTTCTGCAGGTAAGGCAATTGTATTTAACTATTTCAGATAATGACATCAATATTAAAACAGACGCACTGTTGAACCACGAAGTGCAGTTATTCTGTAGACATAACATAGGTCTGGATTTAATTAATAAACGGAAAATTGCACACTTTAAATATGACATAACACAAACATCCAATTCTATACACTATTGATTATTAATGTTTCTTAATGACATTTTCATTCACTAAAAGTTAACGTTTCAAAAACACTCTATTGAATGGATTCACAGCTGAAGTCCAGACTGTATCTACAAGCATAAGCTCTGCTGTCATTGCAGCTTCAAACACAAATGACAAGTGACACTATCAGCTGTGTCCATGTGAGGGAGCCACAGGCCACATTCTGTGCAGTGAAGCCCCAGAGCCACACAGAGCCGCCTGGGTCAGATCCGGAATAACCAGGGCGTTTGGCTTAACTGGGTAATATGCGTTTGGACAGAGCACAGATTCAAAAGTAGACTGAAAAATCAGTGCCGATAAAAATCAGAATGAGAAAAAAAAAAAAAAAAAAAAATCACATAATGCTTCTTTTTCACCAAGGACCATCTCTGACATTCTCAAAAACTACAACACATACACAGCTTATATGACAACAAGGAATAATAAATATTTAAAATTAATGTGCTCGGTGTAAATAACCTCTCAGAAGGTATGTTCCATGGTAACAGGACTTACTGTGACATCATGGAGGGTGAACTCATGCTTTTGGTTGCTGTTGGCTGGAGTTCTCAGAATCAGTGTCAGACGCTACAGTGAAAAACCAAAGATAGTCACAGGGTTTGGTTATATTCTATACATACATACTAAAGGACTGCAGGCAATTTATTCAAGCTGATATTTTCACTTAAATCAATTTCAAATTTAAATGCTCTTTATACACATATTCAGTCTTGGCAACAGCAATACAGGGTAACAATACTCACTGCCGGCTTTCCCATAGCCTGAAACACAGAGGGACACAGAGTCAGACACAGGCACTCAGACTCTGTACATCATTCGGGTGTCAGAGGCCCCAGTATAATGACTGTGTGCAGTTACATGCTTTGAAACATGTCACTTGTGTTTCAGTGTGGACGCCATTGTTCTCTGTGTCTGTCGGCTTTTCTGTTACCTGTCCTGCTCCTCCTCCACAACACGAGCCCAATGACAACAGCAACGAGAGCCAGAGCAGCAGCCACACAGCCGACGATGATGCCCCAGGGAAGGCCTCCTAAAATAAGGTTAAACACCATGTTCACCCCTGATAGTGACGCCCATTAGCTGCTCTCTCTCATTACTGTGTCGCTGCTCCTCTTACCCTGATTGGTCCTTATGTTCTTCTCCTGCAGCAGCACAGCAATGTCATCCTGGAGGCTCTTGTGCTGCACGACACAGCTGTAGCTGTTCATCTTCCAGTCCTCAGGCTTCACCCAGAGTTTTGATGTGATTTGGAATGTTCCATCCCCGTTTGGCAGGGTCTTGCCCACTGCCACGTTGCTGTGCATGTCCACTCCATCTTTCCTCCAGGTCACCACGATCCCTTTGGGGAAGAAGCCGGTTGCGTGGCAGGTGACAGGAGAGGAGGGGTCCTTCTGCAGCAGAGACACCTCAGGGCGGACTTGGGGAGAAAGACAAAAACATCCACAAATAAAATGCTACACTTCATCACCAGCAATCCCTCCTATAAATACATAATGTGATTAATATTCTACACATTGTAGCTATAAACCTGCATCAGGACAGGGACAGCTGTGCCCCCCCCCCACGTGGGACAGCAGACAGAACCACATGGGGGGGGGGGCAGCAGGAGCTGAGAGGAGCTTTAGGCCTCGTTCACACGGACGTCTGTACCAGGCGTTTTTCTGGCGTTCGTGGCGCCAGGTGAGCGGCGACCATTTTTCTGCTCATTGGAGCAAATCAAAGCGTCCACACGGGCGTTCAGCACCGGCGTTTGGCCGGCTACGCGTTCAGGTGGCGTCAAATAAACGCTGCATGCAATGTTTTCTTGGCGTCAAAATCCCGACGAACGTGAGGAAAACGACGCTGTTGCACTTACATGGCGTTCGGTTGGCGTTCTGGAGGACCGAATATGTCCCATGATTCTGTACGGCAACTGCGAGAAACCACATTTTACGGAAAATGTGATACTTGTAATATCGGTATTGTACCAGCAGTGAATTAATCAGCTGCTGGTACAATACCGATATTACGAGTAACCCAACCGACGGATCAACTGGNGTCTTATGAGGAGAGGTTAGCTGAGCTGAATCTGTTTAGCCTCGAGCAAAGGAGACTAAAGGGAGACATGATCCAGGTATATAGGATTCTAACAGGTCTGGATGCTGTTCAGCCAAATGACTATTTCAAAATTAGTCTAAATACTAGAACTCGTGGCCATAAGTGGAAATTAGCGGGAGAACATTTTAAAACGAAATTGAGGAAGCACTTTTTTACACAGCGTGTAGTTAGAGTATAGAATAGTCTTCCTGCTAGTGTAGCACAAGCTAAAACCCTGGGTTTTAGTTAAGTTCTCCCCAAATGAACTTGATGGGCCAAATGGCCTCCTCTCATTTGTAAATTTCATATTTTCTTACCTGCCCGACACATTTGTAGTTAGTCTCTGTTTATCCCCTTTTACTTTTGACCCCTCGTGGTCTTTTTGTTTTTGTAAGTGTTTCTACTGTTTTCTGTTTCCTAAAAGCCTTTGTCCTGTGAGTGGCGCGTGGGTTGTGGGTTCCGGCCTGCACCATGCCTCGTCCTCGCACCAGAACCACCCAAGTTCATGACATAACAGTGTTTTTGGACCTTGGACCGGCTCACACTCCAAGGACAGCTACACCACAAACATGCATCTTCAGGAGCCAAGGAAGGAAGTTATTCAACATGGAAGCACAAACCACCAGGGCCTGGCTGGCGATCGGGAAAGGAAGAGACGTGCTGGAGAATTCCCTGTGATGACGTGTCTGATAAGGTGAAAGAACATGTATAAAAGATGTGCATGAACTAGCATTAGACACACTTCTGCAGGGTGTCCAGCCTCGGCTGTAACTTGTTGCAATTGCAAATGTTGCAATAAATACTGAATCTGAAGATCTACATGAGGGGCTCCTGACTCCTGATTGGCTGAGAAGAAAGAAATATGTGACAATAAAGCCCAAGCCTAGCCAGCCCCCACCACCCCGATCATCACAGACAAAGCTGATAACAGATTCAGGTACTGTATTTCCCAATAATATTTGTGGAGGGGGGGAGGATATTTTCTAATGAAAATACCGTGGTACACAGTATTACTCTAATACCACCCAAGTCTAGCCAGCAACCCCCCTCCGGTTGTCCCTCATCCAGCTCCCTGAAATCAATATACAGTGGGATGTTTGAAAAAGTGACATGACAACACACACACACTAGGCTGAGGATTTAAGTGTGCTTAAGTGACTGTTTAAAAACACTTTGTTTTGTATTACAACAACGGGACCTTATTTGACAAATTAAAAAAAGATAAATAAACAGGCTCAGATTCCCCTGCTGAAGCGATTTAGACCCACACACAGTTCACCTAGTGAGTTCCCGGCCCCCAAAAAATTACACCTAAATATGTTTATTTTTAGCATTTAAACACAAAATGAACCGGATAAAGCAAGATTAATAAGCAGAATGCAAAAATAGCTGAGAGAGAGAGAGATGTAAAAATGCAGTAATGTCTCCTAATTCTGGTCAGAAGGAGCATACAGTATGTTACTGTTTTGCCTTTTCTTGTTTTTATATGTATCTTCATGATTTTGCACTGTATTGTAAACACAGTAGAAACACGCAAAAGAATTCTGTAAAATGGAGTTGTAAGTGTAATATTCTTTTATTTCAATTTTTCCACGGTGTTTGGTTTGTCATGTCGATGGAAGGAAGAAATTAAAAATATCATGCTGAACATAAGTTGAATCGTGATCTAATTTCTGACAGAAGAAAAACATTAGGAGCTGTTACAGTCAGTCTGTAAGGACAGAGGCTCCTGATGCCTCCTCAGAATGACCACGTCCTCACAGTGTGTCAATGGCAGCTGATCATGAACCAATCAGAGGCCGGGTGGGGAATTCCTACATTTACATGGGGGCAGGTGCTGGGAAACAAACCGCTAAATGGTGTGAAGTCTACTGACCCCTGGCTTGCGTTTCTCTGACACTGAAGTGTGCTGAGACCCCTCAGGCAAGCATACAGTATAAATACTGAATGCAGCACGGGCCACACGCTGCATGCACACAGCATATATCAGGTTTGCTTTTTCTTGGCCAAGTTTCAGTGGTTTCATTTATACATTTAGACAATTGTGCTGTTGTCAAAATTGTACAGAAAATAAACAGAAAACTGGCCAAAATATTTTTAGAATAACTGTGCAAATTCTCTGGTTACAGCTGCCTTGTGATTTAATAACTGAGAAAAACACTAACTTGCTACAGCATAACATTGTAACAAATATTGTAAATTCCATTAAATTCGGCTGAAGTACAATATGAAAATACTGATGTCATATTTCATTAGTGAGGAAATAAAAGCCTGTTCTTAGTCATACACAATAACATAATTCTCCTGCACAGAAAGTCATCAGAATTACATACGGTATCAATTCAAAGAAATATGCAAATAAAATATACAAAGTATACTAAATATCTACATCTATGCCATGACAGTGTTAATTGTGAAATTAAAAATTAGTTTTTAACATTTTTAACATAATGAGAGCTCAACAGGCTGCATCTACGGCAGGGGATTGAGGTGTTTATGGTGGTTCCATCTTCCAGAACCATAAACACGGCATTCTGAATGTTTGTACTGTGGTCTGGATCTGAGTTTCAGAACTGTTACACCACTAACAAACATGTTACACTGTCAGGATCACTGTGGTAAACATGCACCACTTACCTTCTGTGTGATTGAAGAGCTTCTTTGCCACTTCAATGCTGTTTTTCATCTCACCCTCTGCATACCAGCTATACTGAATCTGCTGTTCCCAGTAACCAGGCCCCACAGACTGCTCTAACCATCGCTGACGAGGAGTCACTCTGCGTACTTTGCTGTCATAGTAATCGATGGGCTCCCCATTTACCAGCCCCATAGACACAAACTCTGGAAAGTCAGGTATCCCTGACATGCCAGTGTAGACATACTGTAGGGAGTGTGTCACTGGGAAAACAAGACAATCACTGCAAGTTATACAGCTGGGATATCTCTACGTTTACCCTAAGTTTATTGTATTATTTTCTATTTTACTATAGTGGAATGCAATACAGGCTACAATGTGAATACATAGATACCTGCATGTGTATTAACACATTTAAAAACTTATGAAATCTGTCATGTTTCAGGTGTGCTGCTTGACACTTGAAACTATATAGCAGCTTTCACCTAGTATTTCCATACTTTAAAATCTATGAGGTCAAAAACTACTGAAAGCTATTAGCGGTTTACTAGTCACCAGTCTTAAAGGATTAACTCGTTAATGACATGACTGGCTCACGTTGACACTATAACCCAGTTGCAAAATGTAACCACAGGACGTCACTAGTTTCCAGGAATACATCAAATAAGGCAAAAAACGAAAGTAAAAGTAAGATTTGATATATTTTATTTATTTACGCTAATTTTGTGGATTTGCGCTCTCTTTCAATGTCTAATTATATGTGTTTTTAATCTATCAAGCCTGAGCTAAATACTGCTATAATTGTCTCTTAAATGTACTGACATGTCACAGGATGCAGTAAAAAATGCGAGTAGGCTTACAGTTAGGGCTACATTCGCACAATCAGGCGTGGTCTCTAAGAGAAGCAGCTGGGTCTTTTGATATATAAACCATATCATACAGAACTAAAGTAAGAATAATTATGAAAATATCTGCTAACACAACTGTGTCAGTCAATGCATGTTAACTGGGGTAAATATAATAACCAATTTACTAAGATACCATATAAAACATTAGTACATCAATTCATATTCCAAACTCTATTTAAAGCTAACCAACAAGGCAAAAAGTCAATACATCTGAAGTTTTAAGATATTAAGCAAAAGCGGACAGCACGGGCTTTCCCGAGCTGAAGCCCAGGGGCCTCCACTAAAATGGGGCCTCAACTAAAATTGTTAGTACAATTTGAACCCCCCACCAATGGCCAGTAACACAATCATCACACGGCACATCTAAATATTATAGTATAGTTTTTAAAAAAATACAAAACACATGCTTAAAAACTTAGTAAGGAAATCAAACACCAGTGTTAGGCAAGCCATCATAATCCTTCGTCACACTTTAGAATGGCGTTTTAAAGCAAATGAATATTTATCAAAACGTACCTGCGAGTGTGAAGTCAATGCAAGAAAGTATTAGCGTGAAAAACACAGCTTTCCGCATGGTGGTGGGATCGGGGGGTTCCTGAAGCAGGGAATCAAACCCCCCCATCAGTTTCCGAACGTTGAACCGGGACGCAATACAGACTCCACTGTAGGTTCTACGCCGGTTGCATTTCTTTCCGTGCAAAAAAAACAAAATATAGGCGGCGTGAGTCCTTTTCCACCAATAGCAACCAAGAAGGGGACCTGACATCACAAATCTCTAGGACACCTAGAAATACAGAGGTTTATATTCGAAACCAAAATTAATCTGACTTAACCCTCTCAAGGCAGGCGTTGCTGATTTGCAACAGTTTCACAACTAACTACCTTATTACCCCAGATACATATTTTATGAGTTTTTTTTACTCAAAAGTACCACTGCAGGTCTTGGTTGTCCTTTAGCAACAAAAACTCAATTTGAGCCTGAAAGGGTTAACGTGTTCGGGGAAATTGGGTTTAATATGTTATTGAGTTTAGCATTGCAAAACATACACGTGGTTGTTTCAATACAATAGGCTACTCCAACACAACATTAAATATACTGGTTTGATTTCGTGCATGTTTGTATAAATTATTAGGGTATTAGGTGATACATTTTGTATAGAGGTCATTGTTATCACTGTACTATGGAACAGAATTCCTGCTACCTTGAAATGCAAAGACGACTTCAGGGTGGGCGAAAAAAAAATCGATGCGACGTACTGTTTACAGTGCGCAGCACGCAGAAACCGTGCCATGTGGAAATGCAATACCCAGGAGACATTGCTTTTCAGTGAGTGTCGTGAAGAGAACGTGACACATTGAAAGGCAAACCCATCATTCCAGTGCCTTGCATCTTATTTAACTACCATCCAGAAAAACAATTAGAAGGG